GCACACAGAGACACACAAACATGCACATAATCAGAAACAATAAAAGTACACGTTTAGGAAAATAGATAGGTTTCTTTTTGTTTTTAGTTTTATTATTTTATTGTATGTATATGGGTGTTTTTCCTGAATGTATGTGCACCATGCGTGTACCTAGTATCTGGGAAAGCCAGAAGAGGGCACTGGCTTCTCTAGAAGCCCATGGAATTACAGGTGGTTGAGAGCCACCATGTGGGTGCTGGGAATTGAACCTGTGTCCCCTTGGAGAGCAGCTAGTGCTCTTAACAGCTTAGCCATTTCTCCAGCTCCATGCATACGTCTTATACTCAGAGTAAAACTAAAAAGTCCTGTAGGTCTTGGGTTCAGGTTCACTCGGTCTTCCACTAGTCTCGTGTTCCTCAGTGGACACTGACTTGCTGCATCCTTAGATCGCGATGTCCCCACTTGCGGAAGTGGCCTCTGGGCATCGCACAACCCTATGTCTCCACGGTGCCCAGGTACCCATGCTTGCTGGAACTCTCCCACTCTCCGCTGTAACAACCGCCCAGCTGGCTTCAGCACTAATGACCACGCCCTATAAACTCTTCACACTGGCAGATTTGTGTCTTGCTCTCTTCCGTGGGACTTTATATCTCTCGAGAGCTCACTAGAGAGGGGTGGAGTAAGAATGGCACTCGGGGCCAAAATCCCCTGCTTTGCAGCCCCAGATGGGGTGGGGCCAGCCTTGACCTTTAGGGATCTCATATTAATCTTCTTTGACAAGATGAACAAACAAAAATCATATAGTGTTGTAAAGATCAAAGACACCCAAAGAAGGTCCCTGGGGCGTGGCTGAAGGAATGACTCCAGCTCTGAATCAATATGTCATATGAGAGGCTGTTGCCACCGTCACAACGCCCCCTCCCCCACCAGCAAGGTGAAACTTCCATGGTTGTCTTTCGTCATTTTAAACTTTATTAAGCTATTCTGGTGTGTATTCGTGCATGCGCACATGCGTGTGCGTGCACGTGGACATCTGAGGTCAGCCTCTGGCCTCTTCCTTAGAAACCTTCTACTTTGCTTTTTGAGACAGAGTCTCTCACTGGCTGACAGCTTGCTGAGTAGGCGTGGCTGTCTCCGTGTCCCCAGCACGGGGATCCCGAGTGTCCACCACTACGCCTGGGTTTCTCATGAGTGCTGGGAATCAAACTCACATGCTCACACTCGTGAGGCCAGGACTGTCTGAGCCATCGCCCAGTCCCTTCCATTTAATTTCTCTTTTTTGAGACAGGGTTCTGTGTGCTGGTGATGGCTGACCTCACCCAGATCCCCCAGCTGCAAACCCCCCACCCCGTGCTTGGGTCACAGGCATGCTCCTCTCCGCTCGCCTATAGCTCGCTGTTTTTTACCGTTTCTGCTGCTTCCGCCCATTGGCCCCTGCAGCAGCACTGTGACCCCTCCAAGCTGTAAGACTTGGGGTCACTTTTGCACCCCCCTTCCCACTTCCTCCCACCCCTCCTTCAAAGTATATCTTGAAGTTCGCTTCCTTCTTGTCCAGGGTCCTCCTTCGGCTTCAGTGGCTGAAGCCCCTTGCACTTCCTGACAGAATGAACGACTTAGGCAATCCCTCTGCCCACTGCCCTGGACACTGGATGGGTCCAAAATTCCTGCTCTCCTGAGGCAGCCTTTCTGCTCCAAACATCCTAGGCCGCTTTCTCAGGCCGCACCCTCCTCCAAGGCCTCCCTGCCTCCCAGGCAAGCACTCCCCACTCAGCGAGGCTGATGGGCTGTTCTAGGTTACCCCCTTCTCTGTAGACTCCTTACCTGCAGGCCATTTACTGGCCACTCAACCAAACTACGTTCTGTCTTTGATGCCTTCAACAGAGGCTGTCTAGACTCTTTCAGAGACCCTCTCCCTGGCAACTGTCCCCTCTGTCAATCAGTCGGAACTTAATTATGCTTAGTTTATTGAACATGCGTCATGTCACAGTCACCAGGTAATTTTAAAACTCATTCTAGTTTTGAGTGCTAGTACAAGCCTATAATCACAGCACTTTGGAGGCTGAGGCAGGAGGATCAATTAGTTTGAGGCTAGCTTGTGTTATATAGTGAGACACTGTGTGTCTGTCTATGGTCAATCTAGCTACCTATCTAACATCTACATCTATCTATCTATCCATCACCTATCTACCTATATATCTACTTATCTATCATCTATCTATCCATCTAACCATCTATCTAACCATCTATCTATCTATCTATCTATCATCTATCTATCTATTATCTATCTATCTATCTATCTATCTATCATCTATCTATCTATCATCTATCTATCTATTATCTATCTATCTATCATCTATCTATCTATCATCTCTCTATCTATCATCTATCTATCATCTATCTATCTATCTATCTATCATCTATCTATCTATCATCTATCTATCTAACCATCTATCTATCATCTATCTATCTATCTATCTATCTATCATCTATCTATCATCTATCTATCTATCTATCATCTATCTCTCTATCTATCATCTATCTATCTAACCATCTATCTATCATCTATCTATCTATCCCCTCCCTCCCTCCTTTTCTCAGTGCTGGGATTCCAACTCAGGGCCTCACAGATGCTAGGCAAGCGCTCTGCCAGTGAGTCACACCCTTTCCCCATCCCTTTCTCCTCTTCAGAACCTTCTTTGGGTATTGTACTTCACGGCCTGGCTTGGGACAGAGATGTCCCTGCTTGCCCTGAGGTTCAGCCAGCTTGTTGGCTGCCCAGCTCTTGCTGCCATGACCTCGACAGTCAATGTGTGAGGTTTCCCTGGGATGGCTCCTCTGTTGTGAGGACCCCTCAGAGGGTCTTTCCAGGCTCCAGGCTCCCACAGCTTCTTTGCCCACACTTTTCTGGGAATGAGTAACCCACTTCTTGACCCTGCCCCGCAGCTGCCTGTGCTCTTCCGTGTGTTATAAATGAGCAACTTCACTGATGTTCAGCCTTCAGAAGTCTCTAGACCAGAAACGGCACCAGTCTGTTTACCATGCTCACTAACTCGGAAACCTGTGGCATTGGCTGTGTATGGGTCCCTGGAGTGGTTCTCTTGCAGCCCACACCTACTAGAAGCTTCTCTCTAGCAGCTTTGGAGTACTTCAATCTAGGGATTACTTTTGACACTGACAGTTGTCATCGTTGACAAAATGCATACTTGAGAACTGAGCAATCAAGTGACAAAAATAAATAAATAAATGAATAAATAAATAATCACACAGGGCTGGGCATAGCTGCACAGGTATCTAACCCTGGTAATTGGGAAGCAGAAACAGGCATATCTCTAGGAGTCTGAGGCTAGCCTGGTCTACATAGCAAGTTCTAGGAAAGCCAGGGATATATAGAGAAACCTTGTCTCAAACAAACAAGAGTCCCAACAGACACAAACACATCTTCGTACCACAAGCAAAAATAAATATCTTCTAAATAAACGTTTGAAGTGAACAGAAGTATGGAGACATTTGCAGGAGACTTAGAAAATGTTTTGCATTTTTGGGGGAGAGTGTTGAACCAACCTTTCCCAAAAATCACAATCTAATGACCACATAGGAAAGACAGACAAATCTTATCCAGGTAAAAAGTGTTCCTAAGCCAACATGGTGGATCACACCTGCAATCCCAGCACTAGGCAGGTGGAGGCAGGAGGATCAGAAGTTCAAAGTCATCCTCAGCTGCATCACCGGCAGGCATCAAACTCAGGTTATGGGATGGAAGTGCCTGTGTTTAAGCCCAGCTCTGACAGGCAGGGCAATGCCATGTTCAGTGATTCCCCTTAGCTGTCTGTCTTCCTCCTAACTAGGAGTGAGAAACCAGAAGCATGTAGAACAGTGCCTGGTGTGTATATTCTGTGCAGAAGGGTCTGCTATGATAGTGTGAACACTGTGCTCACCCAGGTATTAAGGAGTAATAGAGTTAAGGAGGCCTTCACGTCCTGATTCATTTCTCTGTACTTTTTTTTTTTTAAACTGGGTCTCCTGTAGCTCAGGCTGGCCTTGAACTTGCTGTGTTGCTGAACCTGAATTCCTGATCCTTATGCTTCTACTTTCCAAGCCCTAAGATTTGCCATCACCCTAGTCTGATACAGGGAATCAGACTGAGGGTTCGTTCATGCCTGTCGAGACAGTTGAGCCCTCCACCCGCTGAGCTACATCTCTAGCCCAACTTCTGTGTACTTTCCTGTCTAGGAGAGAATGGATGTATTGTTTCTTCTTCCCTTTTCTGTCTGTTTCTCTCTTCCTTCCCGTGTGTGTGTGTGTGTGTGTGTGTGTGTGTGTGTGTGTGTGTGTGTGTGTTTTAAGACAGGGTTTGTCTGTGTAGCCCTGGCTGTCCTAGAACTCACTCTGTGGACCAGGCTGGCCTGGATCTCACAGAGATCCACCTGCCTCTGCCTCCTGAGTGCTGGGATGCAAGGCCTGGGCCGCCACAACCACCCAGTTTGAATGCATTATTTTCAAATGTTGAGTCTGGGAAGAAGGTCTCACAGCTGGAAACATGCTGAATATTCTGGAAGTTCTTGTGGGGGATTCACCTGGGGCACAGATTTGAAGGCTCCCCCTGTCCTCCACCAGTGTGAGGTCTTTTTTTACTGACTCACTTTTCAGGCTGACAGTGCCCTTGAAACACAGGAAATACACAGGCTAAGTCTTTGCTTCGGGTCAAGGAGAACTGCATGTTAGAGCTGGCCCTCCTTCGGCTGCCCTATTACTCAGCAGCCCTTGGGGACAACGTGTCTGCCCTCTGCTGCAGGCTCAGTCCACGGGTTCCTGCCTGCCTTCTTGCACAAGCCTCCCGGTATCCCAGGCACCTTGGCCACCACCACCACCTCCATCTGCACCCTTTCTGAGTTCCCACACTGTCCTTCCTTCCAGGGGTACTATGTAAAGACTCCTGACCTCAACACCCCAGATGGACCCGCAGGTGGCACGGAGTTCCCCAGGCCTCCCCACTGGGTGGTGTCTCTGGGACTCCTTCTTACCTGGAAGGCTTTGTGCTAGGCTCCTTAACGAAGGAGGGCACAATGAAGAGCAATGCCAACGCAGTCAAAACCAGGACGCCCAGACTCCAGGGATGCAGTCGCCCACGGCAGGTCTTCATAGTGGTGCTCGGCTGGCTCCCAGAAGCGCGTGTGAAGAGAGCAAGTCTCTTGACGTGGATGTCACATAGCCTCCTTGTTCAGGTATCTGGGCCAGGAGTGCTGGCCTTGCCTTCCATCTGGCCACTTCAGAGAGCAGAGGAGGGAAAGGGAGGGGTGGAGTCCGTCCGGCTTTAAGCTGACATGAATTGAAGGAAGAGAAACGCCTTCTGTTCAAACAAGTTTTGTTTGTTTGTTTTTTTTTTTTTCTTTCTAGTCTCTGAAGCCAAATTCTGGAGAAGTATATGAGACCAGGTATCCGTCATACACAGCCTCACTTTTATCTGGCCTCTTCTTCTCCCAGCCTCTCCTCATCCAGCAGCAATGAAAGCAGCCGTAGATGGCATCCACACACTTGGTGCTCGCGGTAGGGATCCCACACACAGCCGCCCCTGCAGGTTCACCTCCTTAGCTTCTCTGAAATTGTGACTGGCACAGCACCAGCAAGCAGCGTGTCTGAGACTCGCTGGCATCCAGGGGCCGGGCTGGGGAGAAGGCTCAGAGGTTGAAGAGCACAGGCACCCATCGGCATGGAGGCTCACAACCATCTGCAACCCCAGCTCCAGGGGATCTGCTGCCCCCTTCTGACCTCCGTGGACTCCTGCACCTTTGTGCATAAATGTACTCTCAGGTGCAGATTTCCAGGAAACACAGAAGTACTGTGGATTCCTGCTGCTAGGATGCTGAACTGTGCAAGCGCTCAGTATGCCAAAGGCCACTCGGAAGGTGGAGTTCTGAAGCTTTGAGGGCTTGGGTTCATTGCTCACATCTCGCTGTGTCTGTTTCTGCCCCCAAAGCAGTGAGCGCCTCACCCACCCTCCTAGGGACAAGGGAGAGGTGCCAGCAGGCTCTCTTAAGAAGCTGTGACTCGTAAGACGGCTAATGGGTTACAATCCCACAATGGACACTGTGGGTCCTGGCACCAGAACGGGAGACCCTACCTCAGGGAATTCCTGTGTTGTCTTCATCTCACTGCCCTTCTCTCTGTCCGTCTGTCCCTGTGCGAGTCTGTAAGCACGTTCTGAATATCCTCCTGTTGCTCTTGGGGCTGGGGTGATGGCCCTGTTCGAGAAGTGCCTGTTTCGCAAGGGCGAAGGCCTAATTAGTTCAATCCTCAAAAGCCACATGAAAGAAAAACAGGGGTGGGATGGGGGAGAAAGAGCCAGGTCTGCAAAGATGGCTTAGCAGGTACCTGCTGCTCAACCCTCGTGGCCTGACTCTGATCCCTAGAATCCACGGAAAGGTGAAGAGAGAGAACCCACTCCATACAGTTTTCCTCTGACCTGAGTGCCCCATGCCCAATAATAATAATAAAATAAAACGAAAGCAAAATAGCAGGGTATGAAGGTACACGTGCATCTGATTCTACCAATGTGGACTCAGGGACAGGCAGATCCCTGGGTTCACAAGTCAGTGTAGGCTACTCGGTGGTATGATTCCAAAGTGGGAGCAATATACCTTGCAAGTTAATGGGAAACCAAAACAGGAAAAGTAAACCTTTGCAGGTTTAGGGATCTGTTTGCAGTTAAAACAGTTAAAACTGTCCTGTGTTAAGCCCTTGCAAGGTAAGATTTCTAATTGTGATTGAGAAGTTCCTATTTGTCCTGTGTTAAATCCTAAACAAAACAAAAAGGAGTAAGTTCTTGTTTGTTCCTATGTTAAGCCCTTGCAGAGTAAGGTTTCTGTTTGTAATGAAGTCAGTTCTGGCCCCTGTCAGCAGCTTACATCTCCTCTAGGAGAAACTTCGAGAAGCCTGGGCCCTACTCCAAACCATATGACAGACTTTGAAGACCCCCCATTGGAAGGCCTCACCCTCCCTGGGGAGCAGAAAGGGGATGGGGTGGGGGTCAGAGGGGGGCAGGGGAGGAGGGGAGGGAGAGGGAACTGGAATTGGTATGTAAAACAAGCTTGTTTCAAATTTAGATTAAAAAATATTATCAAAAAAAAAAAGAAAGAAAGAAAGAAAGAAAGAAAGGAAGAAAGAAAAGAAGACAGTAGGGGAGGCTCCTTCAAATCCTGACTTAGCCGGCTGGCCAGTCCCAGGTGCCCCCAAAATATGGCTTGCTTTAATTTGACAACTGTGATTTATTTCATGGATTTATTTCCTCTTTCACAAATGTCAAGTTTAACAATGGGTACCTGCCGAGGAATAACACTTCCATGCACTGTGAATTCGTATTACTCTCATTGGTTAATGAACAGCTGACAGATCAGTAGCCAGGTAAGAAGTACAGGAGAGGCAGCCAGACACAGAGGACTCTGGGAAGAAAAAAGGTGGGGTCAAAGGAGTCACCAGCCCGATGCAGAGGGAGCAGGAGGGGATGAACGCGCCATGTTAATAAAGGTACTGCCACGTGGCAGAGCGTAAATGAGGGATACGGGTTAATTTAAAATGTAAGGGCTAGGCAATAAGAAGCCTGAGCCATCAGCCAAACAGTTTACAATTAATATAAGCCTCAGTGTATTTATTTGGAACTAAACCGCTGCGGGGCCGAGCGGGACCGAAACTCCATCACCAGGGAGGGAGAGGGGAGAGAGCCAGGGGCAGCAGTCAGGAGGCCACAGGTATGAAAGGCGTGGGGAAACAAAATGGTTGCATTATACAGGGAGCCCATTTCCCTGGGCTGGAAAGTTCAGGGTAGGGGCCAGGTAGGCCAGGCTTCCCCTGTAACAGGGAGGGACTGAGTGCTGAGCTCCATGGCGGAGATACCAGCGGGAGTGACTGCCTGTCACCCTTCTCCTGCAGATCTGTTTGGGCTGTGGCTTCTGTGACAGAAGACTGATCTACGAGCGGCAGCGAAGAAGTCTAGAATGCATACAGCTCATGTATGTGTGTGTGTGTGGGGGGGGGTGACCAGAGACAACCCTACATCTCAGCCTCGCAAGGCTGCTCCTGCACCATTTCTAGAGAGAAGACGGGAAGTGCATAGAGGTGTTTTGAGAAGTCACCAGGAAGGGCCCAGGTAAACGGGTTTACTCTGCAAACTCATGTTGGGTTGACCTGTCCTCTGTGAAGCCCTCTTGAGACTTAATCACCCTTCCCTTCCTGGTATGAAAGATCACCTCCATCCAGATTCCCGAAATAAACATCTCAGAGTGATCTTTTGCCAAGGAGGTTCTTGGAGAGTGGAATCTTCCAGTCTCTTTCAGAGGGAGGCATGCTCAGTGGCATCCTTGTTTCTCCTTGTTCTTGCTCCCCACGAGCTCACAGAGAGCCACTGCCTCCCAAGTGCTGGGATCAAAGGCTCCCTGCTCTTCTTTTCTGGACTTGACATCAAGTCCAGGCCCCTGAGCATGCTAGGCAGGTACTCTGTGACAGAGCACCGCTCCAGCCACGCCTATTCGCCCTGAACCTTCTGCCTTGCTCACTTGAGGTTCGACGCGGTGACTTTTCAGCATACTTACACGGTGTATGGCCACCATCACGATCTACGCTTAAAACCCTTCCTCATCTTCAGAAGAAACATTGCACAGTGCTCCTTGACTCGAGACGGGGCCATAGCCCAATAAACAAATAGGTTGCAAGTTGAAAATGCCAGGTCCAAATGCGTGGAAGGGGCTGGGGGTGGGGCTCGGGTGGTGAACTGCTTAGTGAACACACTCCAAGTGTAAACAGAGGCTTCTCTGCCCCGCTCTGTCCCGCCCCAACCTGCAGATGCTTCGCTCAGAGGCTTAATATTAATTACAAAATGCTTGGCCGAACAGCTCAGGCTTGTTACTAACTAGCTCCTTCTTTTAAATTAACCCATGTTTATTCATCTGTGTTTTGCTCTCATACATTTTGCTCCTCGGGCAGCTGGCTGGCATCTCCCCCAACTCCACCCTTTTTCTCCCTGTATTCAGTCTGGCTTTCCTGCCTAGCTTTATTCTACCTTGCTATAGACCAAAGCAGCTTCTGTGTTAACCAATGAGAGGAATGTATATTCACAGCGTACAGAATTATCCCACATCAACAGTGGCCTCCAGCCTCGGCACCAAATAAACTCAGCACTTGCTAGGAGGAAGAGAATGATAGAACTACAGAGCGAGTTTGAGGTGGCCAGCCTGGGCTATCAGAGACCCATGAGATCCTGTTGTGATTGGAGGTTTCCTGTCCCACCCACCAGTTCCCGCAGCAGCTTATAAAATAACACTCTACTCCAAGGCTTAACTTTAAATATAATTGTTTGGCCAATGGCTCAGGCATATTACTGACTAGCTCTACATACAAATTAACCCATTTGTAATATTTTACATTTTTCCATGATGTTCATGGCTCACATCTTGTGTCCCAGGAGCTACATGGCATCTCCCTGACTCCGCCTTCTTTCTCTCCATATCTTCATTTGGATTTCCCGCCTAACTCTATTCTGCTTGGCCATTGGCCAAGTCAGCGTTATTTATCAGCCAATAAAAGCAACACATGTTCGAAGCATACAGAAGGACATCCCACATCACTCTGTCTCAAACAATATTTAACCTACCATTCCTGTTGGATGCATATTACATTTGCATTAGGATAAAGCAGGAAAATGCTAAGCCCAACCATTGTAAGTCCAAGACTGTCCTGGCCCATTTGTAGACACCCTCTTCACAACCGGTGGCTCCAGCTTCAAGGGATCTAAGGTCTTGTTGGGTGGGGCATCCAGGGAGAGGGCTGTCCTCCAAGTGTCAGGGGACACCGTCTATTGTACTTTTGAGCCTGCCTCGATTTCTTTTCCTATTTCTGTAACAGAACACCCCAACCAAAGGCATGTTTCATTACGGCAGGGTCAAAGATGGCAGGACCTTGAAGCGACGGGTCACAGGTGTGTGGGAGCCCACAAGTGACTCCATTTCCATCTGGAGTCTACTCTGACTGGTAAGACATGAGAGTTCAAGCTGGCTTACTTCTGTCTCCTTGAGAGCCGTGAGAAAGTTCTGATGAAGTTCATGGAAAAGAGCACGTTAACTGACTCTGATGCCAGTCAAAAGGCACACGGAGTAGGGAATGCAGCTGCTTGCTGCCAGCAGGACTCTCGTGATAGAAAGTGAGCCTGGCTGCTCCTCGATTCAAGGGCAGTGCAGGGAGCTGGTTAAGGGACTATGCTGCTCTTTCTTTTACTTTGCCTCTAGTCTGTGTATAAGCAGGGCCTACATTAAACTTGGGGCTGTCCCGTGTGCTGAAAGGCATGTGTTTGTGTCTCTGTTTCTTTGGTCTGCCTTTTCTCAGTCCTCACGGCCCCCTGCTGAGATAACCCAGCTGATTGGCTGGCTCGGGCTCCGACAGTCACGTTACCTCCACAGTCAAGAGCAGAGGTGGATGACTGGAGCAATGCAGGACACTGCTTGGCTTACTCTTCCTTTCATTCAGTCCTGAGCCCAACCCACAAAACAGTGGCACCCACATTCAGGGTGGGTCTTCTCGACTCAGTTACTTCAATGATGTAAACTTATCATAATCACAAAAAAGGAAAAAACGTAGAAAGAACAAGAAACTCAACGT